GTGCCTATGGTACGACAACTTTTCTCCAAGCCCCTGGTACACTGGGTAGACCCACTTTGCCACACACACACACACACCCCCCAACACACCCACACACACACACACACACACACACACTACAAAACATAGATTGCTTAGAGTTACCATGGGCTGTTTACCTGTGAATTAGGGTCATAGTAGAGACCTGTGAATGGGTCATAATAGTAGCCAGAGCTTTCGTCATAGTGGTATGTGGAGACATCTGGCACAGCTGTAGTATGAGACACATGGTATTTGCATCAGATTTTCAATATTTTTCCTGAATGAAAGGTAAGCTTGCCAGTCGTCAGCAGCATCAAACTCAAACTTGACAATTATTTGCAATTATTAGCGAAGATGTAAATTCCCCAGAGGGAACACTAAATACACAAAGCCTTACGATACTGCTGGAGCTCATGTTCAGTGCCTGGGATTGCAGGCTGGCTGGGTGCAGCTGGTTGTGGTTTTCCCACTATTTCAACCTGTGAAGTGACAGATTTTAAAAACAGGAATGGAATAATGGAATAAATAAATGGAATAAAGAAGGAAAAGGCATCGAGTTGTACCTGTGTCCCCGGTGTGGTGGCAGCTGTGGTGATCAGAGGAGTCTGTGTATGAATGAGCGGCTGCTGCACAACCACTGATGCAGGTTTGGCTGCCTCAGATGAAATGACAGCTGCACATGGGCAAACAAGTGCAAATAAGTGGCTTCAGAGGAAGCTTAATGTAATTGTATGCAACTACATGATATATAGATATGTGTGTGTTATAACCTTGTTGGCATGTCATACAAACCTGGGGCTGCTCCTCCTGCGTAGGCTCCATTCAGGGAAGCTACTCCACCTGTCAAAGCAGTAACCCTGTTATCTGCTTGGGGCTTGAAGGTTGTGCCATCTTGCCCTGCATACTCGAGCCCCTCCTGACTGTATGTCACTGCTGCCCCCTGCTGATACACACCCGTATCAACACTCTGGCCTCCACCTGGTCCATTTTGAGAGGTCTGAGAATTTAAAAGAATAAATACAACACAATGATCATGCAATCTGTATTAAGGATGTGCTATATATGCTGTAATACGTCAAACTTTACCTGAGTGACAGCCCACTGTGCAGCAGCTATAGCTGTGCTGGCCACTGTAGCAGCACTCACTCTGCTACCATCCGTTACAAATACATCCCTAACATGGACAAGAGACAGAGTGACGGCTTTAATCCAAAAGCTTTTGGAGGGTTGTTACATCGAATAGCTTAATTTCAACCATCATTGCTCTTCCAATACATTTACGGTTATCTTCACAAAATGCTTTATAATTTTAATAATCACATGATCAACCTGCATTTCTTTGTAATGTGATCAGCCCATTTACTAGTCTTATTTCACACTCCAGTAAAACGCCTGATTCTTACACAGTACCTTGCTCTAGCACACAAAGCACGTTAAACACATGTCATCGAAGGCCTCGAGGAAACTGTTATATAAATAAAACTGAATTTAATTCATTCACCCATTCATGCAAACACTTTTCTCTAAGCTTTCTATCTTTCTAACCTTTACACACATTCACGCATCAACTGATGTATCAGGAGAGCAACTTAAAGTTCAGATATTTTGGCATGCAGACGTGAGCAGCCAGGATCAACCCACCTATCTTCCGACTGGTAGATGACCTGCTCTACCTGCTGAGCTACAGCCACCCACATCCACTGTGCAATTATAATATAGTAAAGCGTGGAGTCCCCGTATGTTCTTTGCAATTAAGTTTGGGTGTGTGAGCATTTACCGTTTGGAGCCTTTGGCAAATTCAACTACAATGACCTTCCCATCAATAGATAGAGGGGGCTGGAGAGCCTGCAAGATCTGGAGCAACTGAGATGCCTCCTGTTAAACACACAGAGACCACTGGGTGGGTGAACACATATTTAAGACAAAGCTCATTAAAAAAATAAAATAAGTAAGCAAAAACTTCAGATACAAGTCAGTAAAACAAAAACAACCCTGGCTTATGTGTGTGTGATCTTGTGTCTCACCACTATGGTAGATAGTTGTAGAAAGGCGAAGCCCCTGTTGAGGTGTGTGTGTTTGTCCTTGATTAGGCGAACGTTGGAAGGGGAGAGGGTAGCAAACGGAGCCAAAGCAGACAAAATGGCTTCTACTGATGTATGTGGGCCGAGGTTCCTCAGTATCAAAGCTGTTGAGAGAGTGGATGAGGTATATTTAAGATGCATTATCGTTTACAAAAACATACTGGCAGCTGCCAGTGCTACCCCTCAGCTCCCAAGTAGATGCACATAAGGTTTAAATTTGAAACCTCCTACTTGAGTTACTGCAGTCACCCAAACCCTCCGACTTTGAGGTTAAGGTCAGTGAAATTCAAACTAGTCCAGAGATTTTTAGTAGATGCAGCCACGGCATGAATTTCAAATCCATCACCTTGTTTGTGACTCATCGCATTTACAAAGTTGGGTGTCCACACAACCCACCAACCAAATCTCAGGGTGACAAAAAGACAGAAACAGCTGAGGGGTAAAAATGAAACGATTTGTGACCCAAGTACACTGATGCACACAAAGTAGTAGTATAGGAAAGTAGGTATCCTATGGCAAAAAATAAATCATTAAAAACAATTATAGACATAAGATTATCCCCCAAGTCTCTTAAAAGAAAATATTGCTATGATGAGGAACATGAGTCTTTCCATTTATGTGTTTCACAACAAACCTTCTTGGTCACTGTGGGCGTACCACAGGGTTCTGTTGTAGGTCCTAACTACTTGCTTCCACTTGGTGATGTTTTATGACTTCATATCCACTCTCAATGCTACACTGATGACAAAGATTTCCCAGGAGATCTCCTGACCCCTCTCAAACTGTTTCAGTGTTGGATGGCACAAAATTCCTACTTTATATCTCAAAATCAGAAATCTTATTGCTCAGTCCTACAAACAACCTTAACCAAACACCATTTACAGTTCCCTCGGTCCTGTATCTTGTGTGTGTGTGTGTGTGTGTGTGTGTGTGTGTGTGTGTGTGTGTGTGTATATAAAGCTTGTTGTCAGAAAATTGGAGCTGCAACTTCAGTCTTTTCTCGTGGGTTTTAAAAAGTCCACCCAGTCTTGCTTCCTATAAATGAGAATTGCTGTACAAGTGTCATAGCTATTAAGGCTCATGTTCCTTCTCTCTGGAGTTAATGGAAAGTTACTCTCTCACCTCCAACTGGTTCAGAATACAGCAGCTTGGCTTTTTACTGAGCAGATGGCATCACATCACCCAAATGCTGGCTTCTCTCCATTGGCTCCCTGCACTTTTTAGAACTGATTTTAAAGTGTATT